TTTATGGCCACATTTATAAGTTTCACCAGCTGCCTGAATGGAGCTACCGCTACAGAAGACATAATGCTGACCTCCACTGATCTAAAGGTTGTATTTGACTCGGTTGACCGCACTTACATTTGCAGCAGTCTATCCTTAAAAGGAAAAGCAGAGAAAGGTCTCCCCATTATCGATTATCCGGAATACCATTCCCAATTTGATGTGCATTAGTAGAGGAGCCTTAGCGGAATGAAACATAGGATCTTATGCCGTCATATTTGACCAACATGTTGGGAGAAAACTCAGCAAGGCATGGGAGTAAGTCCCCTGGGGATGGTCCTATGGACGGCCGGATTACGTCACCTTAGCATTTAGTGATTTATGCGTTTATTAGTACTAGAACTTCTCAATATTACGGATACCTTTGAATCAAGCACACCGGAAATTTGTTTGTGAATCGCAGTAAAGGACCAGGACAATCATGGGTTTTATGTGCTTTCGCAGCAAATATAGGTCAGACTACTCAGTTGCACTGTTTCTTTAATTAGCTTGTGAGCCTCCTCTGCAATGCCAAGTGGATGAGCGACAAATGCTTAGTATGCCGAGGGCAAATCTGTCTTGGGCGTCGCAACCACGTTCTGTGTAATCATTGTTAGATTAATTGCACGTCTGAGTATCCACCTCACACTTGCAGGTTCCTAGGCGCCAATACGGTCATTCCAACTAGTCAGCTGAGTTAAATATTTACGTATTTGTAACTCCTGAAATAGATCAATAACCGTAGAACATACGGCATATATCAGCAAGGCTAAGGTGGATATGCAAACCTCAAATGGCTTTACAACGAAGATATATAGTTTTACTCGCCAAGAACAGCGCTACTGGAGTTACTGTGGGGCTCAAAGAGGTGGTTAATTCTGCTTAGAAGCATCAATTAGGCGAAAGAATTTGGACACTATCACTGGTGTGGTATGGCTCATATTAGGTGGAAAAACTGGGTGGGCAGTGCTGAAGCCTACCAGCTGGGATTTGACAACAAGATACTCGATGCAGATCTAAAACTGCTTTTACGCCAATACCTCCCACGCTAGCTGGATCACATCCTTTGTGTAAATGAGAATAGTCCGCCACAGTCTGCTGTTTCCGCACACACTACCTGGTTGGTTATGACTCCCAGTTAACTATAGGATGGTGAGGCGGGAATCGCATATAGAAAGCGATCGAGGACAGTCATTGGTCTGGCAGGATGGAGTACTCAGAGTAAGCTGTAACAGTGGTTAAAGGCCTAATCCGGCGTTATGCAGTCACGCAGCCAGTGAAGGACTTAACATTGGTGTCTTGCATTCTGATGTTACCCTTCTTACAAGACAAGCATATCTTCTATCCTGTGATCCAACTGCTGATAATACTGTGTCTACAAGTTTGCATTCTCTGCTGCCTATTCCTTTGATCGCTACTGTTTGTGATGCGAATAATAGCGAGCTGACTCACTGACTGTGTTGGAATGATGTTTGTCTAGTTGAGCCGATGTGGCAATGATAAACTGACAAGGTTTGTAAAGTTCCGTTTGACGGTCTGTTTGAAATGCATAAGCTCATTATTGTAGAAATAACTATTCGCATGAATTACGTGCGCGGTCCCCTAAGTTTCAGCAGCTGTTCCCTTAAAGGGGAAATTTGTTGAGATTTCAAATTGACAAATGAAATCATCCGGAGGTCGGAGGCGAAAGTTTATAAGGGGCACCATTGATTGCATCTACGCCGAACGCCACGAACTCGACAAAGCCCTGGGCACCTTGGAGCAAACAATTGATATTTTCTTATGGTTGGATGGATATGAAGTCTTTTGCAAAGTATTGGCCTCCCTGTTCATAGATGAATGGGAGGAAGACACCGTTTGTGCTAACTGGAGTGAAGTGATTATGGGGACACTATACAAGAGATGCAGTCGCACCGACTGCGCGAAACAAAGGAGTATTAGTCTATCGCCAATCGTGACAAACTTATTGGCCTTCACTCTCGTTCGTGGCTTCATTGCGCAACGGGAATACTGGACTAGGAATGAACAAGCAGGCTTCCGCCCAGGATGGGGCTGTATAGACAACATATTCAGTTTGCGGCAGGTGATGGAGCAGCTGCACGCATAATGCAGACCTGCAATAGCTGTATTCGTGGACTTCATTAGTGCGTTTGACTTACTCGAGCGATGCATTTGTTCGATATGTTTGCGCGGAACTTTGCTCCCATGAAATACATGAATATGGTACGTGATCTATACCAGAACTCCACAGCCCATGTCAGGGTTTACGGTAACCTGTGGGATATCTTCGGGGCAACAGTTGACGTTCACCAAGATTACCAAATTTCCCCATTTTTGTTCAATTTCGTTGTGTACACCATCATTGAGTGTTCCCTGGCGAAGCCACACGATACAGGTGTAGGGGTACTGTCTGGTGAAAGGCTAGTTTCTATCGATTTTGCGGACGATATTGTCTTGGTGTTTAAATATGTCTAGGCGGCTCAATCAATGCGGATTAACCTCTATAGAGTGGTATCATTAATTGGTATGCGCTTACCACATTCAAAGTGTAAAGTTTTGTTGCAGGATTACCAGCCACTTGATGACCCCTTGACCATAGATAGCAAGAAACTCGAGGTAGTTGGCCAATTCATTTACCTTGCAGCAGCAAAGTTGGTTGCATAGCAACTAACTGCAGTTCATACAGAGCAAAAGCCGGAGCTGGTTTATTGTATCTGCGACATCTTTTGCGACTGAAAGAAGTTTCGCTCCGTTTGAAAGACCGTATTTACAAGGCCACAGTGGGGACCGTTCTTCGCTATGGACGTGAGAATTGCCCCCATCCACCTGGTGATCTGAGGCGGCTTCAACTCTGTGATCATCGCTGCCTGCGGAGCATTGCTGGTGTCGGGTGGCAACAGCGTGTCAACAACGATAATGTACGCCGCGGAGCACTGTTGTATTGCCATCCGAAAATCAAGAAGAAAGTCTGGGCCGTGATCACAAACCCGTTAGTAAGAAGACTCGTGGATATTTAGTTGCATACGGTATTTCGAGGTGATCTGTTCATTGGCTGGCATTGGTCAACTGGCCTGTACCGATAGTCACATCCTATTGGTTTGTGCTCGTTCTCAATACCATCAATCCTTACAGTGCTCACGGTTACCCTGGGCCTCGCTGTTGCCATCACTGATAGACTGCTCGGTGTTGCTAATTTAGTCGATGACCCCATGATTGGCTATTTGATACATCTGACTGCTTTCTACCATGCTCTCAAGCGTATGCCACGCACTTGCAGCGCAGCCGATCAAACCAGGTTACCGCCTGCCGATAGCGTACTGTTTCTCTTATGCACCGGGACGGGTTCCTTCCGCGGGATCAGCTCTCTCTATACCAGCGTCTGAGTAGTCATTCTTCTATTTGGCTGATGCTTCCTCGGCTGACTATCTGTCACAGCGATGCACCATGATACGATGGTCTCACGCGTACGCAATCCAATCGCCATACGGCTGACCAATCCGCTTTCCCGCCTTCTGCCAGGCCGGACCAGCCGTACGTTCGCGGCTTTCGCCGCATCATTTCCATCCGCCTCCGGTCTCAGCCATCATTACAAGTAATAGGCAGCGATAATTATGCTAGTTGCTTAAATCAACAGATAGCACTGAATAAATTCCGTTGGCTTGGAAACACCGTACGCATGTTCAATCACCGGTTACCGAGGTGCGCTTTGTTTTGTCTGCCAGATATAGGGTGGCGCATAACTCAAGGTGGGCAATAGTTGATTTGGTAGCGGAAAATAAAGTCACGGACGACCAAACTGGGTGCGGTCGGTCAGTCTCGCTTACGAGGCTGAATTTCACGTGACTCGTCTTGTAATTGGCTCTAGACCTTACAGAATATGGCTCGCAGTCGACACCAGTGGCTTGCCTGCTGCCGTCTCCTTGTCGGATTGTCTGTTTAAAGTGTTTGTTGCTGAGTAATCTGCGGGGTAATAATTGATTATGACGCCAGGCAGCGAAAATTGTAAAAGAAGCTTTCTCGCTGATGTCGCCTTATCTTTGCACGATTGCCAACTGTTTGTGACGTTATGTTGCTTACAAGGTGTAGGCGCTCTGACCATGAATATCTGCTTAGTGCATTCGGGTTTTCCGGCAAGTCCCCCTTCTCTCCCTCTTAATACTCTTTGTACCGTAGATAGGTTTTATGGCAGCGAAGCAACAGTTCAAATGGTTGTTGCACTGCACTGCACTTTTGCCGATGATGACAGCTCTAACCAATCTTAGGGACTTTGTACAAACAGATCATCCAGAAGTGGCAAATTAACAAGGAGCCCCGGGGCTGAGCAGCTGCAACAAAGGAAACGTCTTAGTACCGTTTTATAAGTACTGACGTAATATAATAACAAAAACAACAACAATAACAAGATCAACACCTGTGCTTGCTATGATGGGTTCAGGATATATAGAGAGGCCATCAACAGCAGCGGTGAAGACTCCAAAGTGCCAAATTGCCAAGTGAAATATCGTTACTGTTGAAAATAGTTTTGTATTGAGGAGGACTTGTGCAGCAAAACCTGGCTTTTCAAAGACTATCACAACATGGACTATATACAATAGTTAACAGTTTTGCTCTATTCACTCGATTAAACGCTTACGACCAAAGTAAGGCTGGCCAATGGGGACTAGATACACAGAACAAAAAGTGCGTCGTGTACTTTGCGGTCTCTTTACTCCTTTATGACGTCTGGCGATCAGAGGGCCCTTTGCTTCAAGCGCTTATATCACTGTGCCTGGTAGAACACTGACATAACTTGGCGATTATTCATTCTCGCAGCAAGATGAATTGTCAATTAAGATGCATACATTAGTTACCCGGTTGATACTCTCCACTGTATTTCCAAGTGGTCAAGGCTGATAAAAGTACGGCAGGTTGAAACGAACCACAAGCCGGAACAATAAAGCACCACACATATTTTCCTCATACAAGGCAGGAATGTGACTTACCCACTCGAAAAGGCACTTCTTTCTCCTTGTCAGACATTAACGTATTTCAGTAGGAAGATACGCTGAAAGGGGCATAAAGTTTTGATAGAGATCAGCCTCGAAATGAGAATGACATAACGCAGGGGAGAATTCGGCGACAGAAAGTTACGTGACTGCAGTGCACGACATGATTTGACTTGATTTGGCCCGTGGGTGGGTCATTCCCAGACTCTCACTCAGCGTCGACTTGTAGCACCAAAGTTCATTGCACGATTAAGTGTTCACGTTAATTTGTTTGGCGAATACTTCTATTGGTGTCAATCCCTTGGATTAGCTCTTTACGGATCGTCATCCGTGGACAATTCTCACTTTCTCTGTTCAGATACGCGAAAATATTTCACAGACAAGACTAATAATCACCTTTATAGTACCCACAGGAAGGCCAATATGTGCGCTTTCTAAATTTTTCTCATTCAATCCCTTTGGTTGTAATACGAAGTAACTACTGGAATAAACCGCTTCTAAACATAGGCCACTGTGCAGTCCATCAAATCCAACTGGGTGCAGCCGCGCTTTCCGTCCAATCTCTCTCCGCTCTCCACGTACCGTTCACAGTTAGCAGCCGCTAGCGACTAGCATCCACTTCAGATTTAATCAATTATCAAGGGCCCTGTAGCAGTTTCGCAAGCTAAACTCAAAGCCCATAGGACCCCCATTGGTAGTCACTCCAATAAGGTAGAAAACCAATAGCAACTCATCGGTTGTAAGAAAAGCTGAGAACTTATAAGGAACGTAGTAGGAACTGATAAGATCTACCAACCTATATCGCGCAAGGGCTATATAAAGCGATCTTGTGAACAAAAGAAGGCAGAAACAAATGTCCTTTGGATACCCATTGCCATGAATCACTCCCAAACCGGAAAAGCTGGCCCAGTAATAATGACAGAATGATTTATGTCAAGAGGACACGACCACCTCATATGTGTACGGTCCCTTCTGACCCCTTAAATACGATCCTTTTTATTAAAGGTGGGAATGCGTCCGCGGCCGTTCCCACTTCTTACAAACCCGGCAGAAGTCAACTATCTGTTCCCGCTATTACTGCAGCCTTCGCATATACTCTGAGTAACCTATTGCCACACCATCCGTAAATTACACTTGCTCCCTCAATTTCCTTGTTCACAGCAACACAGGCATTCACAGATGACAAATTACAAACACCACCAAGTCTGCTAAGAATGGACTCGACTCCACTACTCCCACACATAGTTATTACCTCCATGGTACATATCTACAACAACGTATAATACAATGGAACACAACACGCTGACCCCACTCACAATAGTCCGTTTTCTGTACGTCTACTTAATGTCTGATCTATAAACAACAAATTGTACTTCCTAAGCATACCTTTACATCAATGACTCACAAGAAATCCTCGTTACCGAAACGTGGTACACTTCCAGTACATTGGATTCCACCTTAATGTTTCTCAATTGTCATGTTTGCCGAAAAGAAGGCGGCACAGGCAAAGGTGAAATCGTGATACACTTACATCATGCATTTTTAGCAGAACTTCTTAATCATCCACAGCTACCAAATGTCCCCGAATCTCTTTGGTTGCCCGTCTCAGGAACCGGTTCTCACATTCTACTCGGATACGTTTACAACCTGCCAACTGCGTTAGCTGCGAGTGCTACCATCACCACTTCAGCTTTCGGATTTGTGGCTTAGATACCAACTATGGCGACCAGTATACTCGGTCTGATATTCACTTTGGGGGTTACAAATGCACAGAAATACTAGACACACTCCCCAGGAGCGACCAAAGCATGATATGATTCGCTTTCTGTTTAATTGGCCATCAAACACGCCTTTATTCTACCATATGCAAGCTATAGGATAAACTGGAAGCAATTGCAACAATTACTCCGATTGTCCGATTAAGATGCATCCTCCCTCGCTAATATTTGTGCACTGCCGTGAGCTATTTTTCCCATCGAGTCCATTACGCCATTGCCGTCCCTATTTCTCATGACAAGGGGATTACTAGTGGAGAAAAAGACGCAATCGTGCTTTCAGTGAGCAGGAAACACGGAATACTAATGGTTGGATAAAGACGGGAAATGTCACCTTGTTTTACAGTTGTACAACATTATTGACGGGGTCGAGCACATACGGTTGATGAAGATGATACATGATGAACAGATAGCTATATGAACGACATGGAGTGTTTATCCAGACAATAAAATACGCATAGACCTTGCGCCTCCTGTCCTTCGGAGTGAAATGGAAATGATCACTGTTGAACAGACACAAATAAAGCAGTTTGCTAGCGTTGCGTAATGGTTGCTAATGAATCTTTTACTAAATAAAGACGATAGCTCGACCTCGACATTAACCGTTTAAGCTAGCACTGGTCGGTGACAAAAATCGGGCGGAAACTATGTATAACACAGCGCACTATTCTGGCGAAACTTGAGGTATGAGAAATGTAGACAGAAAAGTTGTTAAAGTTCTAAACAATAAATGAGCATTTAGAGAGGAACCATATGTAAGCTGAATTATGCTAACTCTGTTTTACATAACTGACCTGTCCTGAGCGACAGTATTGACAAAATGACTTGAGGTACTATATACCCCCATATATCAGCCATATAAACTGACCGACCCAGTCGACCAATAGCTGCTGTGGTCCAGAAATCGGTCGGTGGAATGAATAGCACATGTGACGTTTCCGCACGATAAAGTCAACCTGACTGAACAACCCTATGATGCTCGTGGCTAGTTAGTCGACTGTGTAAATAAGGTGCATTTCGCACTTCGAAAATGGGGGTAAGGATTTCAACGCCTCTCTTGAACGGGGTTCGTTGAGGCCAAACACAGTTGAGGACAAATACTTGTCTGAAAACTGGAACTAGATGATCGACAAACAGAGCAGAATGAGGGGCGGGCAAATGTACTCATAGTAGATCACACGACATTCAGTCTGCTACAATCAATCGAGGAAAAGAATTAGCATGGGTTTTATGTGAATTACGAACCAGTAGTAACCACAAAAACAATTGGCCGGTGGAAACAAACCACAGCGCAGAATAAGAAACGGAAATAAATCAACACGCTGTTACTATTGTTCCCAGGACTAAAGTGTCGGTATCTCGTACACATCTGGCTCGTTCTACTACGTTGTGTCTGTGGTTAGTACCTCCGCTTAACCAAATCCTAGCTGATACTGTGCAGTATATCCTGCCATCCCTTTGAATTAGAGCTCAATTGTGCCTATCCAGGAGTATAAAAGCCTGAAGTCAGCAGTAGGGAAATGATCAAAACAAAATTGCTTTTTTTGAGCAAGTACAACGAGATGCAAAAGCGGAGCCTTTCTAATGGTCCATGTTTTAAGTCTAAAGTGGGATATTGACAATTCCGTTAGCAAGATGGTACCGCTAGCTACCCAGATATGCCTGGATTGGTGAGCTTTCAACTATTTAGCAGAATTACTTATATATATCTATATATATAAGTTTGGGTTTGACTCATATGGGCTACTCTGCACAACCGTCGTCAATGGTTCCAGAAACGAAACAGATGAGACTCGATTCCGTTTACCGTTAGGAGTAATTGGGCAAGATGCCGGTAGAGGTAAAATTTGGACTTGGGTTGTTTCCGCTATACGAACCACAGTTTGGGCAGGAACGCAAGGTAAACTGTGTGGAGGTAGACAGGCCGCGAGAAGCTTAACCCTCAGTACGGCTCCAAAAGATTTACAAAGGCAGTTGACAACCGGGGAGGTAGACCGATGAAGGTTTTCGTACATCAGTGCATCGATATTAACAGCAGGCAATGTGCAGCCATTCATCGCATAAAAAGCATTGAACGACTTTCGAGCAGGACGTAATCCCTTTACCACAATCCAAGCACCTGAAGCTCATGGTGTGTTACATCTGAAAAGTACAAATATTCGGCGAGAAGCTCTCAAAAGAACCGGTTTATTGTCGCTTTTCTTCGCTAGAAATACCACTGTGGAACGGAACGCCCAAAAGGAGGTCGTTAACCGCAGCAGTGACCGCTGGGTGGTAGTTGGGTTACGCCCTTTTCCATGCTGAGATCCAGGACACCAATCCGCATGAGTCACTGAGCTGGCCGTGTGCTAGACCTGCTGCCTTTCGGGTGTACATTTAATCAAAGGTTTCAGTTGAGGACCCGAGTCGTTCTCCTGTCACGTGTGGGCGCCTTGCCAGTATCCTAGTCCATCCTTTTCGGAAGTTATGAAGTGGTCTATGGCCCTTTTTCCGTAAAACCTAACCACCGAAGACAATAGGTCTATGGGTTATAAGCTCACAGCTCGATTGGCGTGGAGCATGAGCGCCACGCATTGTCCATGACGGTGGGAGGGCACCTCCGGGTGTTCAATGGTTTGCTACTGCCCGCCTCAAGTAAGGCAGCCCCTGGTCAAATTGATGCAAACCCGTCTAAACCCACCTGCGTCTGGCCGTGGTCTCAGGTGCGTGTCCTATTATGGTAGCAAAACATATATGAATCGTTCCAGAACCGCAAAGGCTGTGTGTGACGGCCGTCTAGCAGATCCCAATCTGTCTGTGCAATCACATTCCCGAGCTGGATCTGCTCTTCACTGCCTTGTGGGTTAGGCTATTGAACCAAAGCCTCCGGGTGGAGTCCCGCAAGCAAACCACTGAAGCACAACCGCCGCATGGCGTGCGATTGTCCACCAATGTCATCGTATAACGGCATGCAAGCACTCAACATCGGGTGCTGGAACGTGCGCACACCACTGGACCGGAACTCGAGTTAGCGCTCCGAGCGACGCACTGCACTGGTTGCGATGGAATTGGCACGCTACCACATCGATATTGCGACGCTCAGTGAGACTCGGCTCGCTGAGCAAGGTAAGTTGCATAAAGCAGGTGCTGGCTACACATTTTACTGGGTGGGCAACGCTGCCTCAGCCCCAGATGGGGTCAGATTTGCAATATACGATCGCCTCTATGGCCAGATGGTGTGTGAACCAACAGGCATCAGCGAGCGGCTGATGACTGTTGTCCTAGGACTC